AATAAATTTTTTTAGAATTTGTATATAATTTTTATTCTTATCCAAGACTGTATTGAACTGATTACTGTTAATACATACATTTACTGAGAGTTTGCTTGGATGTTGTTTCAAACTACAAGCTTTAATAAAGTTCTAAATTGTAGGTATCATTGGTATTATGGTGTATATTTGTCCTATTTAGGACTCATCATTAGCATGTACCAGTATTCGATTGTCTAATTTTACGCCGAAACTTAAACATAGTACGTATAAATGGTGTAAAGGTAGCATCAATCCATCATTGTAACAGAAGGTACATTCTAGAAGTCCCTCCCAAGTGTTTTATACCAAGGACAGACAAAGCTGCTTACTCTTCTCCTTCTTTTCTCTTCTAGTGGCTGACTGGATTATGAAGACCTCCACGTCTCATGGAGAGTACGGAATACAATGGACAGCTTGAAATCAACTAGACGATTAGGACTTTACAGATGACTTGGCCCTTCTATCACATACACACGAACAAATGCAGATAAAGACAGCCACTGTAGCAACATCTTCTGCATCAGTAGACATCAAAATGCACGACGGTAAGATCAAGATCCTCAAGTACAGAAGCAACTCAATCACACTTAATAGAGAAGCTCTAGAAGATATGGAATCATTCACAAACCTGGGAAGCATCATCGATGAACAAGGAGAATGTGATGCAGACGTAAAGGCAAGGATTAGCAAAGTAAGGGCAGCATTCCTACAATTGAAGAATATATGAAACTTAAAACAACTGTCAACCAATATCAAAGTCAGAATCTTCAATGTGAACATCAAGACAGTCCTACTGTACAGAGCTGAAACTTGAAGAACTACAACAACCATCATCAAAAGAGTAGAATTATTTATAAGATACTGGATTTCCTTTGACCGGATACCATCAGCAACACCTACTATGGGAGGGAACAAACCAGCTTCCAACTGAAAAAGGAAATCAGGAAATGACACTGAAAGTTGATAGGATACACACTGAGGAAATTGTTGCAACGTGTGTGACTGCAGGTTTTGATATGCAGCGTTTATATCGATCGCTTCCGTGACAGTGGACACGTAAACACAGACGGACGACCTAGTGCCCTGATTGGTCCCGCTTCGCAGTCTGTCCCAGCCAGTTGAGTCAGGAACACAAGTCACAGCCTCTGAGTTATGAATCATTGTATTTCAGACATACCTTGTTTATATACCAATCAAGCACACCACATCGTACCATAAAATAGGAAACAACATTTACAAAATATTTAACAAGTGAAATAAACATCGACCAATAAGAAATGTACATTTCAGGTCCAAGGCCACCATAGACTTAACACGACAATTATTGGTATATTTTTCCCGACTATCCTAACAGAAATCATCAAACTGAATCACAAAACAAGTACTATTTTGGAATGCTGAAGGGAAACGGACAAGTGGAAGACCAAAGAACACATTGAGTCGAGAATTGGAAGCAGACATGAAAAGGATGAATAGAAACTGGAAACAAGTTGAATGGATTATCCAGGTTGGAGTTGAATGAAGAATGCTGGTAGGCGGTCTATGCTCCTCCACGAGGGGTAACAGGTGTAAGTAACTTTACAAAACAAGTGCACGAACTCTGAAAATTCCGATTTATGCCAATCAAATACTAAATTACAACAATAACATTTCGATATCACACGAGAACATTAGTACATAGATGCCATTTAAACACAGTCAAAATGCACTGTAGCATTCTTAATATGCAAAATTTGAAGAAATCAATCTTCTATTCGTTAAAATAATGATTCTAGTAACTTTCACTCAAGGTGTATGATGAATTGACTCATTCTTTCAAGAATTTTTTCTGAAACTACGATACAAACAGTATTATACTCTTTAAAAAAGCTTCTCAGAAATCCGGAAGCCTTTATAATCAACTTCTATCTTTAATAAACCCAATCAATCCACCTCTATATATGACAGTCAAAGGCCACAAAAACGAAAGAATGCAAATGCAACATCTTATAAATTTTAATAACTGGCATAAACGTCACACTAGACAAAATGGATGCTCTCTTCCTCTACATGTACACAAACATAAGCCATCATGTCCCTTTTTTTCTCTTTCCAAATTTATTTCACTGGATTATACTCCTTGAATACCATCTTCAAACCCCGATCTTCCCGATTACTGCTTAAACTCTTACTACGTCTACCACTGCGGGATTTAAATCGACAACTGCATCTCTGTGCTAATGTGGTATAGTAACTAGGATTGCCGTACGTACGTACGAAGTCCTAAGTTGTTACTGACTGACTGGAAACAACACTGTATAATATCACTGAAATCAATTAACGTAGACAACTGAGAACATAAATTCGACTGGGAAAAGGTCACAGTTCTGGAACGAAGAATAATTCTTAGCATCATAATATTCAGATCAGTAGACATCCCAACTAAAACAAGTAATTCAGCAAAAAACCTTTCTATAAACTACCGTATTTATAGTCAATTTATTTACTGGTTGTTATCATCATGCGCACTCCGATCAGGTAGTCTGTACCTAACAACACTCCTCGGTCCAACAGACAATGACGTGAATAATTAACGCCGACTTTTAGTTCGTCTGTCACTTTCTTCCGATCTACTCCTAAAAAGTTAACACGGGCATTGCGTTTGGCAGTATTCAAGTGTGAATATCGTAATCACGGTTGGCCAACACAAGAAACAACACTAGACAAAACCGAAGCCACAAATTTGGAACGTCAACATGATTGGCATTAACAATTTAGCTCCTTTGACAGAATTTGTGATTGAGCACTAGTAACCAATGATTGCTTTACACTTTCAAAGGTCATGTTTTATAACCGCTGAGTAAATCAAAGAACTTCTGACAGTATAAATGATAAAACTTAGATTAACAGTTTAGGTGATTAATTGTTGTGGAGAATATTCGAACTTAGTAACTTGACATATCACATTTTCATTGTTTCTTTTTTATTGGACGTTGTTGCTTATGACCAAAATTTATATGACTAAGATAATATCTCCACTAGCCAAACAGATATGACTCAATGCAAGGACAAAACATTGATGATAGATGATTTTTGACGTCCATACCAAATGTAGATCAAAACGATGTATGAATACACTGATTTCTGTATGTTTTATCTACACTAGTTAATAATGAAATATTGAATACATCCGAATAATTTGTACTTAGCACTGATTTATTGATAAGTGATTGGATAAACACACATTTTATAATCCTTACAAGAATAAACTGATACAGTCAAAATAATATAATCGGAATATTGAGCTATATAGTAGCCTCTTCCCAACAAATCCCATGGGACTATGTATCCTGATCATCCAAAAGGCTCAAAGTGCAATTTCAAGGACAAATAGTAGGATAAGAATGTTAATGGACCTTGAAAGAAAGTGAATTAATCACCTAACCAAGAATACTGTTTATATCAATCTGGCAACTCACAAAGTTCCGCACGTAACCTTGGTCTCTTCTTTTTAGCGTTACTGATTTGCTCGAACGTTTGAATTTGTATAGTTACGTAGATAATAACAATTTTTTAAAATGCAGGTTCAATTACCATAATGATATAATGTTGCAGTATTAGTTAGAACACTTAGTTTCATGCTAGAAACTGACTTCGGATGATGATGATAGAATCACTTTAAGTATAGTTCAACCCAATAGCACTTCTGAACACTAAGCTAACCTGTTTATGATGTCAAAGCTAACATTTATCTTTATTTTGCCAATATTAAGTTAGACTTTGTGGCCTTTTTAATCACCGTTTATTTATTGAATGAATTGTGCAAACATATTTCTTGCTTTGCCTTGCAATTAGACTTGTTCCACACAAGCGCACGACTGGAAACTAATGCAGCTTGTTTGAAAATACACCGAAGCAAAAACAAAGTTGAAGAGTGAACAGTTAGAAGGTATACACGATGGAGACCATATTTTGAACAAATGTTATTACTAATTTATAGGGTTTGAGAATATTGTTGGATTATATAACGTCGCATCAATAGTTAGATGGTTCCTAAATGCTTTGGTACGACAGAGGATTGGGATAGTTTTCCGTTCCGGTCGAAGTGCCCTCACATGTCAACGTGTATATAGGAACCATCAACTCACTCCTTTCTTGTGGTGGCCATATTATCCATAAAATTGATGGAACCAAAAGTGAATATTCGGCACTAAAACCTGGTTAGCTGTAAAATCTGGTCTTGTAAAGTGCGATAGACCGGGTTACAAGCCAGTGCTCTTAGTTCGATCTTTCTAACGTTGGTATCGCACTAAGCGCCAGGGCAGAGACAGTACTAAGTGACCAGACTCCTATTAGCAGCCATATAACCGGGACCGTCTCCTGAAGCTTCGCACAGACCACCTGTTTATGGTCTGCACCAACTTTTGGGATAGTTATTGCCAATGTACTACCTGACGCCCTTTCTCAGCAACATGAGACCAAACTTAGATTGATCACATTGCGATCAGACACCGCCGGCTTGGTTGTAAACAAAACCGTGACTTCTCTTGGAGTATTTATGTGTACTCTGATCATGCCCTCATTGTCACTAATTTTATTTCAGTGGTGAACAAATCGATAAAAGAAAATTGGTTGCAGCTTCTGTTGCAATTAAATATCAAACCGAACCAGGTTCAACGTTAGCTACCAACACATCGAAAAGTGCAGATGGCCACTAGCACTGGCACAACTTCCTCGTTGGGGTCTTAGCAAAAGTACAAAATGGTGGCTTGAAACGCTACCAGACATGGCTCAAACTAAAAGTTTGTGGCGATCCTGCCGAAAAACGTTTTGAATGTATTTTTCTTAACCAAACTACACTTCTCACTTCTTTAGCTTTATTTCACTTATTTTTATCAATTTATTGTTGTTTACTAACCTTTCTTCATCTAATTCTTGAACATACTGTACAAAGTATATTTATGTTGGTGCCTCTTCGTATCAATATTTACATATTTCAATACATAAAATAAAAGATTATCATTGAAAACCAGGAATACTGGACAGCTATTTCGTCCTAGTGTAACACCCCTCGGCAATAAGTACTCACAACCTCACCAGTAGTCGAACCCAGGACCTCGTGTAACCTTTAGACCACTGAGTGAATTCAGTGAAGTTTCTTGTTGACCGAACAGCTGGAAACAATGAGAAGTACAGAAATTTTCCCCTTCTTTGATTAATAAAAGACATTCACAATATTATTTAAGTCAAACGATAGAAAAAAAAAAGAAAATAATGATGGAATTATTTACCACTGTGCATATTTGAGAATAAATAAAACAATACTAGGAATAATATCAATAAGAAATAAATCAGTCATTTCAGAAACTATACATAATATAAATTACTGTACAGATATCAATATGTACTAAAAAGGACAAAGAAAGAATATCATGTAAGAATAATACGAGATAAGGGATGGAAATATCCATAGAATAAAATACAATACTCAGAATGATGATAACCATTTCTCATCATAACACTTCGTTATCTAATTAGCTCGGCCGACAGCTCTGTCTGTACCATGCATTAGATGACCAACTCGTCTCATTTTTCGTTCCATTTTCTTTTGTTTCTTTTCATTTACCTGAGTTTCTTGATTTGGATCAAATATCCACGGTGCCAAGATATTTACCCAAAGCACGTAGAATAACCGAATAGGAATCTGGTATTATACATGAAGACAAAATATATAACATTTAAAAATTGGATGTTGCTACTTAATATTAGTGAGTAGTGTAAATGTTATTAGCGAATGTTAATAAACATTCCACATGAATTGCGTGTACATGTACATCTGGATATAAATGACAGCAAACATTCATGACAGCTCTCACTACAGTTCAGCAAGAAATTATAAAGAGTTCCTAATGATTCAGACAAGTTAAAGAAAATTCAGTATCATGATGACATAGTATTGGAGAAAAATGAACAGCGTAATGAATGAGACAGCTTCCCCCATAATTTACTGAGAATCCATTATTTGTAATGTTAAACAAGTTCAGCCAGGGAGACTATAATTTGTGGACGAACTTCGAGGAACGCTGAAGTGACTTTGAGAATGTCTACCTACATACTACAGCTATATATGAGAGTTATAAACCAGTGTGAAATTAGGATTATGATTTACAGTTGATGGTTAGGAAATAGATTTAGGGTTTTCATTACGAACTAACATCAGCTAAAATGTCAAACCGCCATTTAGCCAAATGGGTAAGCGAAATTAGCGCCAAGATCCAAGACTTATTACCCTAAACCTGATTGGTTAGTCCATAAACTATAATTTCGCTATTCAGCTGAACGTAGCTGATACTTTGACGAAGTGGTCGTCCTTGCATATCGTGATGAACAAATCGAGGCATGTTAGATAAAACACGTCTTTCCAGGTCATATAATAGCAGATAGGCTGGATGGAGTAAGATGAGACTAAAAGACTAAAAGCAACAACCTAAGTTTTGAGGACGAATTGATACCTCTGACTATATTGGGACGTCACATTTTGGGTGCTTCCCTTAGAAAACCAGCATCTGTAGTGACGCTGTCTTCCCATAAGAAAAGGATTGGCTTACAATAGGTCGGCCTTAACAATAGCACACAACCTTGTCTCACGGCTTTCTGTTTCCAAAAGTATGGGGCAAACACACCTGAAACTGCTCGTAAAGAGACCGTATGTGACCGGCAACAGGCCTTGTCACTCTCCTAGGTAATCAAGACCATTTCCAACCCAGTTTCCTTTACAGGGACCCTAAAAAGAATTATGCTCCCAAGGTGTGGGAAACATGGGATGGACAACTTTGCTCATACCTCTATCAGCACTCAAAACAGTTTAGGGAAGAGACAATGTTTAACTGATGACATTGAATGTGACTGAAAATATACACTTTAAAATCAACGAGAAACTTGGTGAATTTTACAGTCAAAGAATATAGCAGCTTAATAACGAATACTGCCGATAATGGAATATTAAATGATTATTGTAGTAGAGTTCAGGACTATTAGATAACATGTACCAATAACTTTGTAGGCATCAATGAGCTCAACATTCCGTGATGGGTGATACATCCTCTGACTGAACGCTCTTCTAATAACCTCAGGCTAAATCTGCAAAACCTGAACACGATAAAAAAGGCGCGAAATATGGAGAGAACACTTTACTCTAAGGTTAGTTTATGTACAGAAAGTTGAAGGCATTTATAGCATTTCAGATGTCCTTGGGCTTTTGGAAAGTTCTGGAATCCTTCTACACATAGTAGCGGGATAGGTGATCATCTAATCAGAAATGTGATACGTGACTCTCCATATTCTAGATGCTTCTGAGAAACATCCATTCAATACTGATTGGATGAAACGTTTCCAGTGTTTTCAGGGACCCTTTGGGCTTTTTTCAAGGGACCTTTCGGGGTCTCCCCAACAATGAGCATATCAGATCTGAAATGATTTATATTTATGTTTCATTTACCATTTCGAAAGAGACACTTTCATGCACTAATAATAATAATAAATAAAACGTTCGGCCTGTCATTATTAATGTTATATCCCGATAAGAATAATGAATGGTAATTTTTCGGATCCATTTATGGACCAAGACTATGAGTATATTTTTCTCGTGTACTTGTTATGTAACTAATCTGTTCACATTCATGTCCCTCTTATAATGAGTTTTATTTTGACCTATAACCTATTATAATACGATTTACCATTCTTGAGTTATGGTATGTCTATTAATTACCATCTCCCATATCCACAGCCATATTTGGCTAATTCTTGTACAAACGTTGTTTCCTATTTGACGGTACGATGTGGTCTGTTAGTTTGGTATATAAACCGAGTATATCTGAAATAAATGATTCATATCGCAGAGGCTGAGATTGGTGTTCTGGACTCAACTGGCTGGGCTAGGTGGAAAGTAGGACCAATCAGGACTCTAGGCTGCTCGCATGTGTTTTATGCGTCACTGGTTCGATCGATAGTTCGCTGCTCTCTGATTGGCGGTATCGCTGCATTATACAATAAACAGGGCACACAGGTTCACAAGTTATAACAGTTAACTATTCTGAAAAGTAAAAATTTAAGGCTTTATGGATCGACGTAGTGTGATTTCTGAGAAAAAACGGAACTCCATAAAAACATGTGAAGTCGATTCTGGAAGTTTGAAAATACGAATAGAAGCTATTTAGCATAAAAACAGCCTTTATGGATCACTGATTACCGAGTCTAAATAGCAATTTTTATTAATCAAAACTGGTTCCATCAAATTTCAACATCTCATGTTTATGGTCAATAAAGTTTGAAGGTAACTTCTTTATTAATAGGACTGGAGATTCGCGGTTTAGTCTTCGACGAGTTCTAGAGTTTTCGCTTTTGAGTACTACTATTGATCCTTCAGTGGGACAGGAAATCAGTCTGTTGTGAAATTTCTATTTAGGTCAGTGAAATAATTATTAAGATTTTAAAATAGGATTGGTGAGACTAATTTATGGACGACCTCTGAGCGACGCCAAAGTGACCTTGAGAATATCCACCTACTTACTATGGACAAATGAGGGTTATAAAGCAGTGTGAAGAATAAGGATTGTGGGTTGCAGCTGATAGTTAGGATAAGGAATTGGATTTAGGGCTTTCATCATGAACTAACATCAGCTAAAATGCTAGAACGCTATTTAATCAAATGAATGAATGAATTTCGCAACCAAATCCAAGACCTGTTATCTTACATCTGATTGGTTCGTTCATAAATTATAGTCTTGCAAAAGAAGTTATCAAACATAAATAAACGCGTATACACTAAACAAGAAACGGATTCAATGCAAAACTTACAATTAATAAGAGCAACCAGAAATATTGATGAATTAAGCTTAATATAGTGACTAAACTGCACATGATTATTGCATCTTTAGCTTGTCTGAAAAGAAAAAAAACACCATTAACAATAAGTAAATAATAAAAAAGCATACAATATAGAAAAAAACAGCTATGTAAAATAAAACGAAAAGAATGAGAGAAACGTAGGCCAATGTGAACAAAAACAATCCGAACAATTAATGAATCATGAGATAAATGAAAATAACTATAGGTCATTAGAATGTGAGTTGTGTTCTGCTTTAAAGAATAATTCAACTCTTTTCCAGCTACTCTCCAGTTGTTATCCAATATTCTGGAACAATCAAATTGAGAGTGAAATACGTCCTCCATGCCCCGATTCTTAATAAAGTTCCAAAATGTATATTTAAATTAAAGCAACGGTAAGTAGTAGGCCTTCAAAAATCTTTAAGCATGATGATCTAGTTTTCGAAGTTAGATTGACTGAGATATTAATCAGAGTCTGCACACACGGCGTACTCCTAAATAAAACTGATCGCGATCGCTAGACATCAAAGTTTTTAGAATAGGACAAAAATCCTCTTTTAATAACCATAGAAGAATCGGTTTGAAGAATATATTGTCTAACATGGTGGCCACAATAATCATATGACTTCTAAGACTCGTGAACAGCGAAACTGAGGAAACTAAGCTGGTTTTAGGCCTGGATGTGTGCTGAGGAGGCTAGGTCCACAAATACAATATGCTAAGGAGTCATTCAGTCAGTTATATGAAACATGGGACCTGGCTCATATGTGCATTGGTTTAAGTTGCCACATTAGCATAATGAGATAAAATTATCAAGAAAAATCTGACTGATAGAAGTAACAGTATTATTAGTGATAGAAAAGATTAGCTGGAGAAATAAAATAAGAATTATACGGAGATTTCGGGACTCAGGATACAGGGAGAAACAAAGAGTGAATGCAACTGCAAACATTTTTGAGAAAACACACACACACAAAATATATTACAAAGAGATTAATCTCAAAATTCAAAAACTGATCGGAGAAATGGTAAATTATGAAAGCTGCTTTTAGGTTGTCAGTTCGCTTAACTTGTAGTCAGTAAGTTATTTACAGCTATTTTATGTAACTACCTTACTTGCTTGATCATAAGCATTCGTTTAATCTATCAACTATTGTCATTTCTTCTTTCTAATTTATTGTATTATAAATAGCAACCTTACTTCCTGTTTTGCATATATTGTACTTTCTAATTTGTTGTGCTTTGTGGTCTAATTATCTCCATATTTAAACGTTTACTCTTCTAAGTTAGACATAATCGAACATAGAGATTTCCCGCCACGGTTGTCTTCCCTCTTCTCTTCCCAGCCAATCAGTATTCACGAAGTCAAGGAATAGGATAGTTCCCTGCCCGCAAGGTTGATTAATTACAAGTTGAACTCACGAGTTTGCGGTCTGAAGGTTATATTGAGTAAACTAATGCACCGAGGCCGTTAACTAGTTTAGAGACAACCTTCTCTTGATATCTAACTACAGAAACAAGGGGCCCACTAGAGTTACAATACCTAATAAGTTAAGAGCTAAGTTGTTAACTATCATTGTTTATGGATTCACTGACTTTTTTCGCTCATTTGCATGCTTTTCCATCAAATGGCCTTAGATTAGATTAATAGTAAATGGTATATAATTTAGTTCCTAACCAATGAATAAACTGATATGATACAGAAGCAAAAGTTAAACCTTACTGTTTATAAACTTATCTCACAACTGTAAATATGGATTTATGCTGAGTATATTCAAAATCTAAACCAGACTATTTTGGATGATCGATACAGTTCTCTTCCTTTCCCTTTCCAAGTAAATATAAAAGATAAAACTAACAAATGCGGTCTGGTTTCATTATATGAATAGCGAAACTACTTTTTTTGTATTTTTAAGACCAGTTCTTTCAAATTATGTTTTTCTCCTATCCAAATCTACACCGACTGTAATTGGATTAAAAATATAAGAATATGGTCGGTGATCTGGATAGTAAGATCACAGAGATGATAAATGATGTAATTTGGAATAATTGCTAGGCTCCAACCAAGATACTAAAATAGATATGTCGAAATTGAACTAGACTCTATAGACGAACCAATCAGATTTAAGATGGCAGATGTTGGATTTTACGTGAATTTCGTTAGTCTCTACAGCTACAGCGCATTCTTTCACTATAGTTGGTATCAGTTTGTGATGAAAACACTCGCTCTAACTAACAACCCTAGTCCCTATTAAAACAAATAATTAACCCAATTTTGGATCATATAAGTGATTAAAATTTCGCAAGGTCCCTTTTTTATAATCAATCAAAATAATTCATAAATGTTAGTTTCATCGGTGCTCACATCATTGTAGTATTCAGGACTTAGGAGTTTATACAAAACGAAGTGATATGGATGAAACAGCAGAGATAACTCTGAACGACACTTTTATACGCTAATACCACAGCTTCTTATTCTACTATCACTGACTATTGCAAAACGAAATTCTTGTAGAGAAGATTTATAGGCTAGAATCCAAAAAATTAGTTCATATTTCAGTTCATCCAATTAAGTTTAGATTAAATTCAGTCTTTGAAAGAAAGAAATTGAGCACAGTCACCACAGAGTATTTCTGACTGATTTACAGAAGTAAAGCAAAACAAAAACCATGGGTGGTTGAATGAAAATTACTCATTTCGAATAAACGATTGGAGTCGAGATTTCGAATTACCATATGTTAACTCAGTAAGATGACACCCACAAGACTTAAAATCCTGGGTTTGTCTCCTGCAGCTGATCTTATGTGGGAGATGCGCATTCCTGAGTAGAACAAAACAGTTGTCTAATGATCCTTGGCATTCGATGACTCATTTTAGCTTAAATCAGCCTGTCAGTCAGTTAGTTCATGGGTCATACCCAATGCAGAAACTGGGATTTATGCACATACGTTCAAGTTGCCACAGAACAGCACAGATACAAACGTTAGAGTAGTAAAAGAAGTAACAGTATCGGTAATAATGGAAAACATTTTTTTCAACTACAGTCTAGTTAAGATCAGTTCATGGTCTAAATTTTAAAAATTCTACAACCTTTAGAAATCCCTCCACACTTGTAATATCCCTACCCAAAATAACCCAATTATTTAATCACGGAATAAAACAAAAAGTGTAAATCACTTACTCTCCAAGTCCACCTGATCCTATATTTAAATCTAGGCCAGCATCCACCAATTGATGAGTTCCTCTTTCGTTGACAGCGTAAGATGGTGAAGCCATGTAGGACATAAATTTATAAGCAGCTAAACAAGCACCGAAGCAACCTAGTGATAACGCTATGTAACGTTTCGTATAGGTTGACCAGAAAAATGTTAAAGTGATAACGAAATAAACTATCTAGGAAGAAAACAACATTGACAATAATGAATGTTGTAACAAAATGTCCAAACACTAAGTCTAAGATAAGAATATAACCAATAATGAACATGATGATAAAATTAACCGGTCAGAGACGAAGTAAGAGCTGAGAATGATATGTGTCGTTCCAGGTTGCACATCTGACATTAACAGATTGGAAGAGGGAATCAACAAGTTGAAAACCAATGAAGAATGAAAGTCAGTGCCCAATACAACAGAAGGTCAAACATGTGTACACCGAAAAGAACGAGTGAAATTAAATAAAGATTTAATAAAGATTAAATAAAGTGTTGAATAGTACCATGTTCAGGGAAGAGAATATATAACGGATACAACTGCACTATTGTGATTGACTTTGAGCCATGGTATTTATCTTCTCTACCCATAAACTATGATTATCCACAGGAACACAATCGAGAAATAAGTTGCTAATGACACAGGTCAGTTTAGCAATCAATGGCATGAGTTACTGGTGCCATGCTCTTATTTAAGCACCCGTATCTTTCTATGAAACTACCCTCATATAAACCAATATTATTAGTCAGGATATGCTATGGATATACATTTGTGACATGTGGCCCAAAAATGCCAATCGACAGCCTATATTCTCATCAGTCGAATAACAGTTTTGGAAACCAACCTTACTACTAACGTTAGAGTCAGTCACTTGATGGTTATATTATTACTAAGTAACGCTACCGAGAAAACTATTATTGGAGACTTGCATTGTAGACAAGATTAAATATCAAGTAATATACCAAAGAAAAATTTCCATTTAAACATTTAGTAAAGACGAACTTCGAATATATATATATATATATATATATATATATATATATATATATATATATATATGTTTCGGAATTCCTTTTTGTACAAGAAATAGCTGGTAAGAGTAAACGAAATATTCAAGTGATAGTTTTTAATCGTCTGAATATGTCTTTAAAGTAACGTTTTAGAATATATTTGAAAATATAGGCGAGGAATAACAAACCTAAAGCTTTATTTTGAACTTTTCTCTCATGAAATTAAGGGGTCCTCACCACTATGCTTAATTTCAAGTGGAAATGAGGTATTCTAGTTAAAAGAAAAGATAGCCAGGGACAATTCAGAACGTGGAACAAATATGCATTGATTTACGCTATCAGATCGATCACACCAATGTGAAATGAGAGAAGGATCGAGAAGAGTAAAAAATTAGGTAGAGAAACCTGTAAAATCGAAGAATGAGTGGTATGAAATAGCTTAAAACTTTTGCCATGATAAAAACTAGATACAGCTCACCAGTTTTAAATCACAGAGCCTAAACTTCACAACAATTAGTCCCAGTAGGTTGCGAATATTTACTGATAAGTTTGCGATTTTTTTTATTGTTGAGTTTAAAATATCGGCGATTTCAAAGATTATTATGAAATGCATGAGTTTAGTCATCTTAATGTTTCGTTCCGTCATCGATAAAGTGAGCCATAACACATTGAAATATGTGGTAGAAATACAAGCGTGAAGTAGGTCACAAAAGCTACAGCTGATGAGAGTTTAGAACTTAATTTAATTTCCCTTATCTATCAAGCACTTCGAGTCTAACATTAGCAAAGCTCACTCCATGGTTTCAACACAAATAACTAGTATGTTGCTAAATATCCGTGATTGGATAGTTATACCAACCGTTGAACCAAACTGCACTGTAGGGCCAGTGAAATGTCACTGGGCCATAGCTAAATCATCTGACAGTTGGTTCAATGAATATCGAATAGTTCACCGATCCTCATCACGTTCAAGGACCACCAATGCGCATCAATTAGTGACACGCCAAGTACTGGCCCATTCGGTGGTGGTCGCACTCTTTTCTTGTACCTACTCTTACTAATATATTTCTGTAATAACGTCCTTTGTGTTATACTGTCTTTAAAGTGACCACAGTACCTTGATATGACGAAAGGATAATCCACGTTAGGAATTAACCGCGAGGTGTGACTTCGAAGTTAACAGGTTTGTCACACCATTCCTGTTTAGCTCGAGTAGACCTCCAATTATTTGACTCAGATGGTCCACGTTAGCGATCTACAACAATACCAAGTCGACCGGAGATCCAGAATAACATTGCAGTAATGTGGAGAATTCCTGCAGTTACAGCTCGAATTGCTTCGGAGTGCGAAAAAGTTCTTTGAACGTCGTGTGCAAACAACTGGTTACTCTTTTCTCTCTAATAGATATCCAGTCTGAAATGTAGCTTTATAGAATTTCACCACTCAGCTTCTCGAGTACATTTAAGTGAAACTTATCTATCTATCTATTTGCTTTATAGGGCAAACAAAAGATATAAAAAGTGATATTGTTAACAGATTATTGGCCTTTCCAATTATAAAGAATTATGAATCGAAAAGTAGCATGATTAAATCTTTCAAATAATACCTTGAGTGGATGGATTGAGACAATAATTTGGTGAATATATATATACATTTATGTCCAGCAAATAGTACTATTTGCTGCCAACTGGCTTCTTACAACTGTTAACACAAACCAACATGCCCGTAGCCCGTCAAAAGGAATAGGCTTACACTGTCCATTGCAATCAGATACCTCGAACACTTAATTCTATTTTCCGATGACATAGACACTTGAACTCGGTATGAACTAGTTTAAGTGAAAGCTTTAACGACGAACCTGAAACTACACAATGACTCGTCATATGTGTATTTGAAATATTGGTAAGAATTAACTTTTGGAACAAACATAAAAAATGGTTATGAACGTTCCGAATTAAAATAACTACAAAGGACTTACATAACAGGACAGAAACAAATAACGGTAGAACTTAAGTGTCCGTAAATTTTCTTCATGAATGAGCTTTTCACTCTTAGTTCCTTCTTTATGGGGCTTTTTCTGGCTGAGCATCACTAAAAGCAAAACGTGGCCTTGGGGTAGCACAATTTCGACCACGGCGGTCTTCAAATGGTTCAAATGGTTGTGGACGGAATAGAAGAAGCTTTCGCTTAACAGGCTTCCGTGTCTAGTAGCAGGGGATCACCAAATCCTCCAGGCAGGAACCTAGGTATGTTAACAATAAAAAGGAAAAGAAATTGGTAAATCATAATGTGATGCTGTCCTTGGTCCTTAAGAATAGGTCAAGTTGCCTCTTGAAGGACTCCTGAGAAGTCGCTTGGACTAGCTCGGCCGGCAGCGAATTCCAGCTTTTGACAACTCTTAAGGAGTAGAAGTTGTGTCTACATTCCGTCTTGCTATGTTGTGTTTCCAGTTTCTGGGTGTTACCCCTTAGGTTATTATTCGAACTAAGCTTAAGTAGGTGTTTAAGAGGATGTCCAGAAGTGTTAAGAATACTATAAGCCATTAATAAATCACCTCTAAGACGCCTATATTCTAGTGGGTAAAGGTCTAGTGAACGGAGGCGTTCTTCGTAAGGCTTAGATTTGAGTCCTCGAACTGATTTCGTGGCTCGCCGTTGGATACGCTCCAAAGTGACCTTGTCCTTTTGGAGTGAGGGGGGAGTACTATGTTTCCGTACTCTAAATGGGGACGGATGAAACTATTGAAGATTGTGTGGAAAGTTCGTCCGTCAAACTGTCCAAAAATGCGCTTCAACGTTACCAGTGCAAGGTTTGCTCGGAAGGCATTTTTGTCACAGTTAGCGTAAGACTTTAAGTCATGGGGCACCAGGACTCCTAAATCTTTTTCGACTTGGGATACTACTAGAGAGGAGTTTCCTAAGTTGTAACTGTAGTTTGCTACATGTCGCAGATGGACTACTTTACACTTTGAAGTGTTAAAGGTAAGTCCGTTATCGTCTGCCCAACTTTGAAGTCGCGTCAGATCCTCCTGAAGTGCCTGTGTATCGTCTTGGTTGCGTATCTCTCTCCAAAGTTTCACGTCGTCGGCAAAAAGTAATAAATCTGACGTTACCTGTTGAGGAAGATCATTTATGTAGATCAAGAAGAGAAGAGGCCCTAGTACTGAGCCCTGGGGGACCCCACTAGGACATTCCATAGCCTGAGATAAAGTGAAATTAACCCTAACCTTAAAGTGTCGATTTTTTAGGTATGAAGTAAGCCAATCGATTAGAGGTGGTTTGATACCTAGTCGTTTGAGCTTGTTGATAAGACATAAGTGGTTAACCTTATCAAAAGCTTTTGAGAAATCAAGGTAAATGACATCAACCTTTCCCTTGCAATCGAGGATGCTTGTCCATTTGTCCACCGCAGTCAGCAGGTTGGTTATACAGGAGTAACCCTTCCTGAAACCATGCTGTTGGGGTGAGAAGAAATTTAAGGACAGTAGATAGTCATTTAAACCGTCGCATATCAGGGACTCCATGAGTTTTGAAGGTAATGACAGAAGAGCCACCGGCCGATAACTTGAAGGTTCATTGCGTCGACCACCTTTGAAAATTGGTGTGATGTGAGCCAACTTCCAATTTTCCGGTAATTTGCCTCGGCTAAGCGAGTGTGAAAACATCACGCTAAGCGGCGTTGCCAGGATTGAGGCTGCCTCCCTCAGTATGGCAGGATGAACCATATCCGGGCCAGGAGAAGTGTCAAGTCTTAAGTGCTGCAATTTCCGGAACACCAAGTCAGCGCTTAGGTCCACTTCAGAAAGTCCTGTGGAGTTGGAGATGAAACTGTCGTCAATAAAGTTGATGTCAGCCGGTTGAAATGTTTGAGAGTAATGGGCCGCCAGAAGGTTAGCGGCGTCGCCATCGTTGTTGGTCGGGCCGTTAAGACCTAGCAGTTGAGAAACTCCTGTTTTGGCTTGACGAAGAGAGGCTGCATAACGGAATAGGCTTCTAGGGTTAGAGGCGAATTTGTCCATAAGCTTTGTTTGGTACTGAAGCCTGTCTTCTCTTATAGCCTTCGTGCATGTGTTCCTGATATGTTTGTATTGCCTATACGCTCCATCGTTATTAGTTCGTTTGTATTCCGCCCAACAGTGCCGTTTGCGGCTTAGGAGGCGAAGGGTACGGTTCTTGATTACTGTAGGTGGCTTGAAGCTTTTGGGAACCGTTTGAGGAACTGAATGGTCTGTAGCACATAAGAGCGTGTGCAGTAAAAGGTCCCAATGACCATCCACATCGATTTGAGGGTGAACATCCCAAACGACCTGTTGTAGATAGTCATGTAGAGCTGGCACGTTCAGCCGTTTAAAATTCCAACGCAAATTATTGTTGGGATACCTTAGCTTAGTTTTGATGACAAAACTGAAGGCTATGACGGCATGATCGCTTTTTCCCAGAGGAGCCAGGATTGAGAGGTTGTCGACTAGGAATTCTTCGTTAGTGAATACACAGTCTAAGCGCGATGGTGTCTGACTGTTTCTCCAACGAGTTGCCGACCTCACATTTTCATATAAGCCCAAGTTATCGATGAGGTTGTAGAACCGAGCTTCAATTGAGTTGTCGCCTCCAGTGTACGTGTGTTCCGCGAAGTTGACTCTAGGGAGATTAAAGTCCCCTAGAATCAGGATGTGTGTGAAACCGAGACGGATAGAGCGGGATAGTCCTTCCAGCATACGACTATCGTACTCGGTGTCGGCAGTTGGCTTCCTGTAAATGACTCCGACTAGACACCTGGAAGTACTAGACAGTCTTACAGAGCACCATATGGATTCCTCAAGATTGTTAAACTCGAGGTTGTGAACCTGGTGCACCTCCAAGCAAGAGCTTATGTATATGGCTACTCCGCCCCCAATTCCTGTTTTTCTGTCGTTGCGGAACAAAGTCATCCCAGTCAATGCTAACTCTTGGTCCGAGAACTGAGAAGATATCCAGGTTTCAGATATTCCTATCAGATGGGCCTTATTAGCGCTGCTAAGTTCACGTAGTTCATCCAGTTTGTTTGGTAGACTCGCGGCGTTCATATATAAGCAGTTTATGCTTTCAATTTGGAACGCGTGAGCTTCGTCCTGTTTTTCTGTATGAACCTTGTGTGAATGGACAGGTAGCCCACCTATGTGAGGTTTGCCGAGGTGGTAGGCCCTGTCCTTTACACGTTTTTTTTATCGTTTAGACAGTCCACAAGTGGAATGGTCAGCTCCAACTTGCCTTTGTTCTTGGTCCTAACTTCGTATGGCCTATCCGGGTGCATGTGGATTCCAGGTGGCAATCGACGTCTATTAGCACGAAATGCTTCCAGAACTGCAGCCGCCATGTGGGAAGATGGGAAGGTTATCTTCATTAGACGGGGTCTAAGATCACCGTCCTTCTTGGCTAGTCTCGTCACATGCTGAGTCAGTATGTGTTTGAGCCTCAAGGACTGTTTGATGAATTTCCATTCCCTGATGTCAGAATTTGATTGAGTAGGGTCTGCATTTTCCGGTATACCTTGGACAATTATGTTTCTTCCGCGGAAAAACTTCTCGCGAGATTCTTTAGGGACGTTTCGTATGATACTGCGCTCAGAGTACGGTATGTCGGGCAGTATTCTTACGTTACCATCTGATTTCAGCAAGTGGCTTGCTAGCAAGACGTCCTCTACGTCGGTAGCATCCTTAAGTGTTACTCGGAGAAGCCTCGGGTGATTTAGATGCTTAGAATCCTTTCCTCGAGTGAGCCGGGTGACCGTCAAAGGCTCTATTCTAGGAAGTTCAAGCTTCTTGTTCAATTCACCCCAGAGCATCCTGTCGTTTTTGTCCTGCAGACTGAGAGGAAGATCAGGATTGTCAACGAGGTTCATGATAATGAGAGAATCGTCACGAACTGTTGTTAATTTACCAGGTTTCACGATGGGTTCAGGTTTAATAACTTGTTGTTTGGAGGTCAGTGTGCGTTTTGAATCTTGGGCTCTTTATTGACCGGACGAACAGTCTTGGGGGTAGACTGTGCGACTAAATCACCAGTTATTTTCCGTGCAGCAACACTTGGGTTGCTCGGCTTAGGCGGTGATGCCTGGTTCTTTTGGGCTCTCTTAACGTGGGTCGAATCACCTGCAGGGTTTTTGGGAACCACTGTTGTGTTTGGGGACCCTGAGCTGGGAGACCCGAGTTTGCCTAGGGAGTTCAGTACCGTCGACGTAATGATGGTACTGAGCCTCGACACGTCGTCGTTAGTGTTGATGGATGCGCCATCGATGGAATACCTATCGACATCCCTGTTTTTGAGTCCGTTGCACGCTCTTGTTTGTATATCAGTTTTTTTGCTATCGTTTTCCAAGTTAACTGACAACTTGTTCCGAAGACCTGTCAGTAGGACAATGATGTTACTCAGCAAGACTACGGAGTCCGTGTTGCACGTGACACACACCCACTTTTGCTCTGACTTGCTGAGTCTGTTGTAAGCAGTTGCTGTCAGATCTGTGCATGCTTCGTGGAACCAACCTTTGCAGTTGTCGCACTGCATGCCAGTTGTGACAGCAAAACGGCATCCCGGACGTTTGCATGAGTTTTTCATGACGGTGTTGAAGCAAATTATGTTATAGATGCTTGCAAGAGCCTAAGACCTTTAAAAAAACACTAAAAAGCACACTGAAAACGGACAAAAATGGACAAAACGAGTGATATAAACTGAAACTAGTCTATACGTGAAAAACAAAAAAAACCGAATAGTAAGCTGAGGCAAAACCACAGGTAACTATTAAATATAGTGAAACTCAAAAAAAAGTAATCTACCGAACGTATAGCTCAGGATAGATTCTTTAGAACTGAAATGGTACTTTTGTTGCGTAAGAACACAGCAAAAGTTTGATAAATGCAAATCACGTTAGGACTAAACTTCCCGTTCGAAAAAAATACCCAAAACCATTATTCCATATACTTCTAATTTCAAATAACTTTGTCAAGAGCTACCACAAATCAACTGATTTCTCTGCCTCGTTTCTTGTTGTTCGTGTACGAATCTAGATATTTGACAATGTCCAATGAGTGATAGTTTAGTCAATCGACTCCACTATTTCTAATCAGTTTGGTAGTTATTTTTGGTTTTATATATATTGTAGTGACAGTCAGTCGTCTCTCA